CCACCTGAGCATGACTCTACAGAATGGAGCAGAACTGAGTAGGCGCCCACCTAGGGGCAGTGGCCCCCCGGGAGGTCGCTGAGCTGAGCATCTCCGGCCACAGGAGGACGCACAGCTGCACCCCTCACCTGACCTGGCCCAAGGTACAGGTGCCGTCTCTGCAGAGAGAAGTGGCCCTCAGGTGGCTGGGGGCAGGAGCCAGGAGCAAGCCAAGATGTCCCCCGGTGTCCCCACTGCTCAGCTCACGCTCCCTCTCCTCCCCTGCTCCAGGCTGGGGGCCATCGGTCACACCCTTCTGTGAATGTAATCCTTTTATGACTCCTCCCTGGGGCATTTGCAGTATACACTTTGTCTCTAACCTTGCAGAGGGAAAGGGAAAGTCGATCCCAGCACACCTGGCACCCCAGCCCCCACGGCCTGATGCGAAGGCACCGCCTGAAGCCAGTCTGAGTCACTCCTGCAGTGTTGTTCAGCATCTGCTCCAGGGCTCTGGCAATTCAACAGAGAATGGGGCGGACACGGCCCAGCCTCGCTGAGAAGGGGAGCAGGGAAAGAATCAGAAAACAGGGTGGGCATTTGGCGTGGGTGCCGGGGTCGCGGATCTGCATCCCCTCATTACAGCGCCTGGGTTTGAGTCCTGGCTCTGCTTCCAATCCAGCTTCCTGCCAAGGTGCACACTGGGAGGCAGCAGACGATGGCTCAAGTCCTTGGGTCCCTGCCACCCACGTGGGAGACCAGGATCGCGATCTCAGCTCACTGCTTCAGGCTGGCTGTTGCCGGCATTGGAAGAGTGAAGCAACAAATGGAAGATTTCTCTCTCCCATTCACATTGAATAAATACATTTATTTAAAAAAAAAGATTAATTATTTATTTGAAAGGCAGGGCAAGAGAAAGAGAGAGACACACAGACAGACAGAGATAGAGATCTTCCATCTACTGGTTCATTCTCCAAATAGCCACAATGACTGGGACTGGGCCAGGCTGAAGCCAGGAACCTAGAACTCCATGTGAGTCTCCCACATTGGGGGCAGGGACCCAAGTACTAGGGCTATCACCTGCCACCTGTCCAGTGCATTGGCAGGGAAGTGGATTGGAAAGCAGAGCAGCCAGACTCAAACTAGCACACCAATATGGGATGCTGGCATGGAAGGTGGTGGCTTAACGGGCTGCACCACAAATAAATAAATTTTAAAAAAGAGAAAAGGGGTCAGTGTTGTGGCGACAGTGGATGAAGCCCCTGCAGCACAGGCATCTCATATGGGCGCTGGTTTGAGTCCCGGCTGCAGCCCCTCCCATCCAGCTTCCTGCTAAAGCACCTGGGAAAGCAGCAGAAGATGGCCCAAGGGCTTGGGCCCCTGCACCCACATGGGAGATCTGGATAGAATTCCAGACTCCTGGCTTTGGCCTGGCCCAGCCCAGCCTCAGCCATTGCAGCCATTTGGAGAGTGAGCCAGTAGATGAAAGATACCTCACCTCTCTCTCTTTCCCCTCTCCCTCTCCCTTTCCCCTTCTCCCTCTTCCTCTCTCTCCTTCTCTCTGTAACTCTGCCGTTCAAGTAATAAATACATCTTTATAAAACACACACAGGGAGAAAACAGATAACATAAGAACCAGCTGTGTCAAGTGCTACAAAGGAAGCAAATGAGGTGGCGTAAGAAAGAAGGAGATGGGCTGGGGCGGGGGCTGACTGCAGACGGGAGGAGAGAGGGGGACAGCGGGACCGACTTCTTTATCACTGAGACCAGCAGATGGAAAGGAGCTGGCTCTGGGAGCAGCAGGTGCGAGGAAGCACTTTGCAGGCAAGAAGATATTTATAAGCTCTTACGTCCGGTTTGCCACTGGTCCTTCAATACGGAGATCTGATTGGTATCGGGCACAATTTGTGACATAAAGATTTAGGCTTGGTGGACACTGCGAAGGGAGAGCCTTGAAAAATAAACAGTTGATAAGCCGGTGGTTTTCCCAGTTAAACTGTTGTCCTGAGAAGGGGGCCATTGAAACAGGCTATTGTTCAGATAAATTGATTTTCAAGAAGTTCCTAAGCAAATAATGAAGTTGTTTATTGGTTTACAGTCTTATCTTCCTAGGCAAGAAATTTCTGGAATAGTGGACTCACATGGATGCAGCAGCCTGGTTGCAGGTGACTGCCTGCTCTCCGCTCTTAGAAGAGAGGCTGCTGCAGGCCAGTCCAGCAGGGACAGTGGCCACATTGGCATGGGGACACCGGGAACACAGCAGTGGGTACATCCCAATATATTTTTGGAGCTGGATCAATGACACTCCAGGAAGTCTACTAGATAGGGAGGGAGGATGGAACCACGAGGTTCCTGGCCTGAGCCCTGGGGAGGTGGTGGCACCACTTACGCAGGTACAGGGCCCAGCCCGGCTTGCGGGAAGTGGTCCCAGGTTCAGGTTCTGAGTCTGTGGGGGTCAGGATGTCTGTGAGGCCCCATGCAGAAACATCAACTGTGAGTACAATCAATAGGTTTCAGATTTAAATAATAATAATAATAAAAAAGGGAGAGTCATCAGCTCAGAGTGGGTACTTAAAGCTACAGGTCAAACATTACCAGGAGAGACAGCAGAGGCGAGCGGGGTGCAGGGGATGCCCGACAGAAGGTGGAGGAAGGGCCATCTGCAAGCAGGCTGAGGAAGCTGGTCGGAGGACATTCGGGGGTGTAGAACACGGGGCCGGCCGGTCAAGGAGGGAGCAGGACGCTGATGGGTGCGCCTGGGTAGTGGTGCGGCTGTGGAGCAAGGTCTGGAACCTGCAGGCAGGAAACTTCCTCCACCTGCTACCTATGACCTCAAGCCTCATCTTCTCCCATCTCAAATGGACAGAATGACAGCGCCAGTGGACTGGGGTAAGGTGCAGACGGCTATCACGCAGGAGAACAGGACTCGGCACAGAAGGCGGACACCCAGCATCTGGGACCGGGAAGTGACACTGCAGGTGGAGGCGTGGTGGACAGAAGAGAGTCCGCTCCTCACCCTCTGTGCTGCTGTGGACAGCTTCAGGGAGGGGATCATGGCCAAGTCGCCCTGCTGAAGCTGGCCGCAGAAAACCAACCAGACACATGGCAAACACCGCCAAGCTGTCCCGGAGGAGGTAAGGCTTGGTGGCACTTGGAGATTCCTCTGGTTTCTGAAACAGCTTCAGCCTAGCATCCAAACGCTAGACCCTCGGGCGTGAAGACTGACTTCTCCCACCCCCTCACCCCTGCCTGATTACCTGTGTCCTCCCTTCCAACCCCCATCCGTGTAGGAGCTCAGGATGCATCACTTTTTTTCCTTTATTTTTTTCTCTAAAAATTATTTATTTGAAAAGCAGAGCTTACAGAGAGAGGGGGAGACACACAGAGATCTTCCATTTTCTGGTTCAGTCCCCAAATGGCTATGACAGCTGACACTGGGCCAGGCAAAACCAGAAGCCAAGAGCCAGGAGCTTCCTCCAGGTCTCACACGGGTGCAGGGGCCCAAGCACTTGGCTCATCTTCCACTGCTTCCCCAGGTGCATCAACAGAGAGCTGGATGGGAAGTGGAGCAGCTGGGACTATGAGGTGGCGATGCTGGCCCCAGGCGGCCTCATTTGTACCCTGGTCACCAGACCCTTGCTCGCCTCCAGCTAAGGGGGCAGGTATTGTGGTCCAGCAGGTTAAGCCACTGCCTGCAACAGTCATCCCAAAGGGGTGCTGGTTCAAGACCCAGCTGCTCCACTTCTGATCCAGCCGTCTGCTAATGCATCTGGGAAAGCAGTGGAAGATGGCCCAAGTGCTTGGGCCCCTGCACCCATGCCGGAGACATGAATGAAGCCCCTGGCTCCTGGCTTCAGCCCCAGCTGTTGCAGCCATTTGCAGAGTGAGCCAGCAGATGGAAGACCTCTGTCTCTGCTGGTCTCTCCCTCTCTCTCGCTGTCACTCTGCCTTTCAAATAAATAAAAATAAATCTTACAAAAACAAAACACAACCCTCAGAGGCTGCCCCTTCTTGTCAATCTTCAGTCAACTAAGAAGCGGTTACCTGGGGCCCGCAGGTTGCCAGGCCCTGAGCAGGCTCCAGGGCTCTAACACTGAGCCAGAGACACCCCTGCCCTCATGTTGTGGGGTGAGGGGAGATGATGAGTGGCAGGAAGTGGGTACCAGAGCACCTACCCCTGGGGGCTTCCAGAACACGGGACCCAGAAAGACTCCTGGCGGAGTGGATACTCAGGCTGAGGCCCGACAGATGAGTAAGAGGAGTTTATGGGCCCGGCGGTGGGAAGCACGTGGAAGGCCACTTGGGCGGCCACCTGGGTCTCAGGAGCATGGCTTGTTGCCACGCCGGCCCCCACCCTGGGCTAGGGGGTACCTGCCGCTCTGCACCCTGCCCTGCCCTCACAGGTCCTCCAGCACCCACTGCCCACAGCCTGCGCACCTGGTGGTCCCCACGGCTGCGCTCGGCCCGTGCGCACAGAGGAATCTTGGACGGGTCGGGCAGGCTCTCGCTGTCCTGCAGTCCCCAGCACCCAGGTGGGCCTGGCTTGCTGTGGTCGCTTAATAAATAAATACACTCACATGCAAAAAGAGAACTGGGCTGGGGAAAATAGAGCTGAGAGGCCATGAGTGACAGCCCTAGGGAGCCACCCGAGGCGCGTGGGTCGGCGGGAAGCGGTGCAGCTGGGATCCGGTGGGATCCCAGGTTCCCAGGGAAGCAGGTGGGATCCGGTTCCCAGGGCACGTCCAGAAGTGGGGGTCTCTAGACGCCTCAAATCCAGGGGTGCTGGGAGCCCGACTGGGAACTTGGAGCGAGGATCTCCGCGGCCGCCCTCGGGCCGGGCAGCACCCACCTGCTGGCTCCTATTTCCCCCACCCCGCCCCGCCCCGCCCGCGCGCCCGGGAACCCTGGCTCTCCCGGCCGCACTGAGGCTTCCAGCTGTGGATGCCTGGCCGGACCGGCGGCGGGCGGGAGGAGGGAACTCTGCGTCCCTCCCTCCGCCTGCATCTCCCCACCCTCCCGCCTTCCCTCCTCCCCTCCCCGCTCCCTGCCCGCTCGCGGTCTCCCTCCCTCTTTCTCCTCCGCGGCTGTCGAGTCGCCTGGCGGCCGCGAACGCCGAACGCCTTGCTCCAGTCCCGGCTCGGAACTGAACTGTGCGCGCGCGCGGGTCCCGGAGCCCAGGGTGCAGGCCGAGATTCGGACCGAGCCGAGGCGCGCAGCCGGAGGAGAGCCGCGGAGCCGGGCGGTCCCGGAGCGCGGCCGCGGAAGGCGGGGAGACGGCCGCGAGCCGGGGCAGAGGGCAGAGTGCAAGAGCGGCCTGGCCCGGCGGAGGGCGCCGCCCGGCCGGAAGACAGCGAGCCGCCCGGGACGGCGGCCCCGCGTGGGGCGCGCACCCAGGGTGGCCGTGGGGCGGGAGCGACTCCCGGCCGACGGCGGGGGGCGTGCCCCCTCCCAGCCCGGCCCGCCCGCCGCGTCGCCGGGGCATGTGAGCGCCCGGCCCAGGCTGCCAGCCGCGAGGACCGCCCGCAGCGGGAGCAGGAGCCGCGAGCCCCGAGCCCAGCGCCCGGCTGAGTAGTAAGTGCGCCCGTGCGCGCCGTCGCGCCCCTCTCCCCGGCCCTCCCAAGTCTTGACGCTGGCGCCCCCACGGGCCTGGGCACCACGCCGGCTCGCTTCCCTCGGAGTTTCCCTCCTTGGCAAAGTTTTCCGAGCAGGGACGGACCCCCACCTGTGCCCCCCACCCCCCATAAGGTCGGCGGACCCGGGTCCTGGCACAGAGGGGTGGCGCCCGCAGGGCCGGGGGCGGCTGCGCCAGTGCCCCCACTGCCCGCCCCTCGCCCACCCGGCGGCGCTGGGTCTTTCTCGCCGGCCCTGGCCGTGCGCGCCCGGATTACGGATTTCCCGGTGCAAAGCTGGGAGCGACGTGGGCGCGCCCCTGGTGGGGCTCGGGTGCCCCCCTCAGCGAGCCGCGGAGCTCCGGGCGCCGGGTGGGCGGGGGTCGGGGGCGCGCCGCTCACCCCTCGGCATGCTGCAGGTTTATTCCCCGGCGGAGCGGCCGGGCGCCGCCTCCTGTTTGTTTTCCGCCCGCGCCGCTCCGGATCCACCCCCGCCCCCACCGCGGCCAGCTTCCTCCACCCCCACCTCCCGTCCGGCTGCCGCCCGGGCGAGCCTTGCGCCCCGATTTCCCGGGGAAAGCGAGTCGTGCCCAGAGGCAGCGGACGCACAGGGGCCGCGCGGCGCTCCCGGCCGCTCGCCATTGTTGTCGCGCCCCGCGCGTTCTGGACGTAAACATACACACACACACACCCGCGCACGCCGTGCACACGTGTCCCGGGCACACGTGTGTGCCGCCCGCGTCCCGCGGGAGCAGCCGCGTCCGGGGAGCGCGAGGACCCGGCGGCCCGGGGAGGGGGCATGTGCAGCTTCACCCCGGCTCCTCCCGGGAGGAGCCGGGGCGCTCGCCGGGCCCGCGGCGGCTGCGAGGACTCCGCCGGCTCTCCCGGCATTCGCCTCCGAGACGCGAGCTTGGAGGAAGCCGGAGTTTTCCTGGGAAGTTTGCTTGGACTCGGTGGGGATTTCCGGGCAGGGCGCCTTGGGGACGTCGCCCGGGCTGCTGCTGCTGGCCTTGCAAAGCCCCTGCTGTCCGCCGTATCCCTAGCTGGGACTCAGCACCTGTGCGCTGGGCGGAATGGGCAGGGTCCCGCCCTCGGGGGAGTGATGTGTGAGGGTGCAGGTTCCCAGGGCAGGAGCTCCAGGGGGTGGGGACCACGGAGTGTCCAGTGGCTCAGAGCCGAGAGACTGGAGTTGCATTCCAGCTGCTGCCCCTGGCTCTGTGCCTCAGTTTCCTCGTCTGTAAATGGGGTTCCCGTGAGCAGCGCTTATGTCCCTGAGTGATGCCCAGAGCTGTGCCGACACACGCAAGTGCAGGGTGCGAGTTCCCTGTGACTGAGCGCCTGGGAGCCTGGAGGAGTTGTGCCCCGGCAGTTAGGATAGTTCATTGGGGGGGGGGGTAGGGAGGCCTCACACTGCCCCCGCTCCACTCCACTTCCTGTGGCCTGAGTCTTCCCTCTTCCACCCCCCCCTTTCTTGGCGGTGTCGGTTGCCGCCTTTCCTCATTCTTAAAAATTGCTCTTGGCCCAGCTGCAGCCTCTCAGGGTGGACGTCAGGCCCAGGAAGGAAGTGTCTACCAGGGCGTCCCCCCAGCACCTGCGCCTGGCTGCCGGCTCAGGATTGAGTGTGCTGTGCATCCCTGGGGGCGGCTGGGTTTCCATGGGGCCCCAGGGCAGCATCAGCGGGACAGGTACCGGCCAGCCCTGAGGCTGCACTGCAGTTCCGTGTAGCGAAAGCGGGGGGGCCAAGGTTGGGCTGTGCCCCATGCACCCTACCTGATTCCAGACCCTGCAGGCACTTCTAAGCGGTGGGCTGGGTGGCAGGAAGAGCAGGTGCTGCTGGCACCTGTGCTCCTTTCCTGACCTTTCACCCCACCCCGGGTGGTGCTTGGCGCTTGGGGAGCCCACGCGGCAGACCCACCTGTTCATCCCTGCAACAGGGACGTACTGAGCACCCACTGTGTGCCGGGCCCTGTGCTAGGCAGGGGACCAGTGAACGTGACAGGTAGGTGCTCTTCCAACCGGGAGAAGACACTGGGGTCTGCACTGGGAGGCCGTGAAGGCCGCCCTGGAGAGAGGACAGCACAGCCCCTGCCTGCCCCGGAGACCTGCAGGCAGAGGGACCGGCCAGTGCAGAGCCCCTGAGGCTTCTGGGGAGATGGGAGAAAGAGGAGGGGGCGAGGGCCTGGTCTGGCCACACTGCACCCACCCCGTAGGACTGGTTAGGGGCCTGGCATTTGTGGCTGGTGAAGCCATTGGTCAGTTGCGGGCCAGGAGTGATGGGATCTGAGATGGTGGCTTGGAGAGATTATTTGGTGCGTAAGAGGTGGGCGTCATAGGTGCCCCAGATGAGGGAGATGTTGTGGTTTGCCGTGGACCCTTTTGTCTGTTCCGAATTGAGAACCGCGTGCGGGTATAAACTGGACAGAGGAAACAAGGCTTGTAGTGACCCCAGAACGGCTTCCGACCTGGGAGTACGTGTGATAAGGGGTAAGGAGACGGGGTGTAATGATACAGTGCCCGTCTCGCAACGAGGATTCCACGTATTTGCCCGCCTGCCACGCACACAGACACACGTGGCGATGGCCACAGGGGTTCACCCTGGACCCCGGACAGAGAGCTGAGTTTTATGTCCTTGTTTATCTTCTGTTGCTTTCCCCACACTTGCACAGTGGTCATGAATTACTTTTATACACAGAGAAGGAATGCTGTCAAAAAGAGAGATGGCTTCGCCTGCTGGGTGGAGACTGGCTTGGAGGGGAGCTAGGATGCAGGCCGAGGCTGGCCGGGGGGCCTGGGGGGCCTGGGGGCTGTTTGGGAGGCAGAGCCTGTGGCCTCCGTAACACAGCAGCATCGCTCCGTGCTTGCTCAGTGCACAGCTATGTGGTCAGTGGGGCGAGCGTCAGCCATGGCAGGCGGATTCCAGTGCTGGCTGGGCTTGGGGCACTTGGCTGCTGTGACGATGAGCACGTTCAGAGAGACCAGAGGAAGGATTCAGAGCCGAGGAAACACTCCTCAGGTGGCACCTCCGAGCCTCCTTCTTCCCATCTGTCCAATGGGCCAGCAACAGCAATCAGATCTGCTTCTTAGAACTGCTGGGATAGGGCTCCCGGTTTGCTGTGGCCAGCCCCGTCCCCCAAAGGGATCCGGGTGTTCTTGACCTTGAGAGGCCCACACGCGAGTGTGCAAAGGCTGGCTCTTCCAGGGCAGCTCCCTGTGCCCGTGTCCAGGAAGCTGACAGGGCACCGGAAGAAGTAGGACTCCAAGGCAGCCGTCCTGGCGCGCCCCCGCCCCAGCCGCCTTGGGGCGAAGCTGAGCTGTGCTGTGCGTGTGAAAAGAGGCCGGTCAGGCCCACAGCGCGCCGAGCTCTGAATGGGAGTTATTTTTGCGCGCAGTGTTTGCTTAAGAGGGCTCGCTCTCTCCTGCCTGAACTCGCTGCGTCCTCACCCTTGGCTCGTCCCTTCCTGGAACCCGGATGTGTGAGCCCGGGAGGCCGTCACCATGCCTGCCACCAGAAGGGGAGCCCAGCCCCTGGAGGATGGCTGCCCCCGCCCCTGCCCCTGGAAGGCCGGCCCTGGGTGGTGGGCTTTGCCTGGGGGGGACCCTCCTTATTTTGGAAGACCGTGAGAGTCGCTAAGGCCAGCTCAGCAGGCCACCGCCGCCTCTGCCCGCTTCTTTCCTCAGGGGGTGGCTGTGTTTCTTTTCAAATGCAAATGATCTGAGCACCTGGGATGTGGCGTGCCCTCCTGAGGGTCTGTTCTGTGCCACCGGCCCAAGGAGACAGGTGAGTGCACCCGGCTCTGGGCCCTGCCACGGCAAGGCTCTGTCCCCGTCCTGCGTGGGCCACGGGGCAGACCCCCACCCCGCCCCCCAGCCACCACCTGCAGCTCCAGGCTGCTGCTTGGCTATCCTGTCCCAGGGCCCGCCTCTCTGGCGAGGCCCCCAGGCCCCAGCACCGCCCCCTCGCTGCTGGGGAGAGCAGAGGCTGTGGATGGTCACCGAGACGGGGCAGACGTCACCGAGACGGGGCAGACCCTCCTGCCAGAGGTCGGGCGGAGGGGGAAAGGCTGGGGTGTCCCCTGCCTCCTCTCAGGGTCTTTGTGGGTGGACCAGAGGCCGAGGCGGGCCGGGGGCCAGGGGCCGTGCTGTGTGTGGCCTGGCACCTCAGGGGAGCTGCATGAGCTCCTGGCTGCCCAAATGGTGGGGGTTCTAGTGGTGGGGGAGGGGGCCTGGTGGAGAGTAAGGATGGAGGAAGTGGGGACAGACCTGCAGCTGCCACCTTTTCCCTAAATAGCCCTCTGGGCGCCGGGCAGTGGTCAGATCTGGAATTTTCTGTGCCCCGGGTAGGAACAGCACCCGCACCCGGCTGCACTCCCACCCAGCCCTCCTCCAGCAGTGGTCTTAGCATTTAAATGGCCTTGGCACAAGCTCCCCGCGGGGTTGGGGAGGGGTGTTGGTGTCACCCCTACATTGTTCCGCTGTGGCTTCTGGGGACACGGCCAGGCCAGCGTAGGGTTTCAGCATCTTGGCTCGCAAAGAGTAAGGGGAAGGGGCCGGCGCCCGGGCAGGGGCACTGCGGCTCTTTGGCTCTGGAAGCCCTCCCAGGCCTGCAGCTCCCCGGGGGATCCGCCCCGGAGGCGGCTGGACTGCCCTCCCCACCCCTCCCCCTCGCCTCCCCTCCCCCGCCCTCCTCCCTTCCCTCTGCGGGGATGGAATGTGCAGCCCGGAGAACTGGACGGGGTGAGAGCCGCTCCCAGAGGGCCTTGCTCCGGCCCCTCCCATCCCCCACGGAGGGGCCCCGGGCTGCGCTGCACTGCGCTGGGGCAGAGGGGGTGCCATGGGCCGGGGCTGGCCCTGTGGAGGAGCAGCCAGGGAGGCGGGGCGGGCCGGGGCCTGGGGCCCAGCAGCCAGAGCAGCCCCAGCGGCCGCCGTCCCACCGAGGCCAGCCTCTTCCCCTGGCTGCGTTTT